CAGTTTACGCAGACAGGTTTTTCTCCATAACAATTCGACATGAAAGTGATAATTTTTTTTATTATATAGGAGACATGTAGGGCTAGGAATTAACAGGCTCCGATTTTTAAATTTCTCTTTTGCTGAAATAAAAAACTTAGATAGTTCATTTCTATTAGTATCCCGAATTTGAATATTTTTCGAAAAACATTCTTTAAAAATCAAATAAATAGAAATTCAAAAATCGGATCTTGTTAAGTCCTAGCCCTAAGGGCACTCTACAACTTGGAAACCACCAGGGCCTGTTAGCTCGTATCCTTATTGTGAAATCCTTGTCCGCGTTAGGGGTAATGAATTGACTAGAACTTGTGTATTTCTTTGAGATTTGGGGAAGATATTTTAACCATAAGCTATTCTAGTCAAGACTAACATTCTCTGAGATTTTGGTTGAAATCGGATGAAAATTAGCAAAGTTCGTTTCTGAGGAAGCCCCCCCCCCCCCCCCCCTTTAATGGAATTGATTGTACATTAACATTAGATAAACTTTTACCATTTGTTACTAAGTAATTTAATTTTGATTCATCATTTAGTTTGGAAGATATGCTTTCATCACATCAATGGTGCATTTATGAGTTAGTATCTTATTGTTTTCTTTATTTTCATTCTATTCAAAATAGTTGACATAAAAAAATGATTTTTATCATATCGATACAATAAATAAATAATATAAGAAAGTATTTATAAAAAAGTTTTTTGTAGAAAAACAAAATTATTTGTTAAATAAAATCTATTAAAAGTCTAAGGGTTAATAGAGAAATTTTTTAAAAAATGATGAATCCGTCTCTAGTGATAAACATTAAGATAATATCAATAGAAATGTCAAAATCGAATTTTTCTTAATTGATTTTTATTGAAATACGAAAATAAAAGATTAGAGAAAATTTACACTTTTCTAATATTCTATAAATTATATTATGTTGTAATCAACTTTATTTGATATATTGATGAAAATATGAATCGAATATTCTCTATATTGTTATTTATAGAAACAAATGTTCTCTAACACAATATTTTTATTTGGAATTGTTATACAATATTCATTGACAAATTGGTTCGAATGAATTAACAACAAAAATAAATGTATACATAAATAATATTCTAAAAACTGCTAATAAATTAACAATTGGTATTAATGATTTAACTCGTATATTAACACGCTTAGTAATTCGTCTTGAAAATGTTGAAATTCAATGAAAACTTTTTCTATTTGTTGAACAAACTCGAACAGAATTATATTTTATTGAAAAACTTCTATTAGAAAATAATTTATCTTTATTTGAAAATGATATTCAAAAATGAATTACAAATTTATTATTAACTATGGTTTTATTTAATAAACAACTTTATACAAAAATAATAAAAAATATTTCTTTTTTTTATTTGAATCCTAAAAAAAGAAAAAGATTACTTTTTAAAATGATCGATAAAACATATAATTATGAACATTTAACTAGACGAATTGTTGAATTAATTGAAAAATTAAGACGGTAACTAATTAATGTTTTTTTTTTTATTAAAAAAAAAGAAAGTTTCCTCGTTTTAGTCCAATGAGTCTAGTAGCAAGTTTTAATTTAATTAGTGAATTATTATCTCTATGTTTGTCATCAAATATTAATCAAGAAGATTTGATTTTATTGATGATGGAAATAGTGATGAATGTGCTTGTGCTATAATTAATCTTCTTAGTAAAGCTCGATCATGTTTGTATGATTCAGTAAATGGTAATAATTATTTTTTTTTTTGAATTTCTTTTGTTTATAAGAACGTAAATGTCCATATTAGGGATTAATTTTAAAATTATCTTCATTTTCATCTGATACTGTTTGAGAAACATTTATAAAAATACCTCCATTGATTATTAATGATAAATGTCTTTCAGGTTATTTTCAGTTTTTTTTGTCTTTCTTTTTCTTAAACCATCTTTATTTTAGATGTATTTGGTGCTAATTGGTATTTGACACAACATTTTTTATTTGAATATTTTACAAATGATGCATTATTATGTTCATCAAATGATTTATTTATTAATCTTATTGTAAATTTATTTATTGATTTACTAAATATGATATTCATTCGAATGATGAAAACGAAGAAGAAATAAGTTTAGATCGTCGTTTAGAGTCATCATCTGAAGGTTATAATAATGTATTTGTATCCGAAAATGAGAGTTGTGATCATTATTGTGCTTGTTATGGACAACATCTTCTTTCGTCATTGGAAAAAATTCTAGAAAAATCTTCTACAGTAAATATGAATAAAACAATTTGTATGATACATGATCAATGTAATCGATTAGTTTATATTCAAACAGACGCATTTAATCAATTTTTTTATAAGACAAAGATTAATTGTTCGATTAAATTTAATCTCTGCATGTTACAAAATCATTACATGATATTAAATTAGAACAATTAACTCACCAATGGATATTCCATAATTAAAACAAGATCATTCTATTGTTTTTGTTTTAATTAACTTTTGTATTCGACAGTAAAGTAGCATAATAATTCTTCCTCATTTCTCTTCAAATAAAGTGGAATAAATTATAGAATAAAAAAAGAGTTCTACAATACTTTGGCAAAAAAAATATGAATACTTTTTAATTTGTCATCTTTGGAAAGAACTACAGTGAGATATGTTTTGTTCAAATAAGTTAATATATATTTGAAGTTTTTTGATAATTCAGAAGGACTGTAGTAATTGCAATTGTGTTTCTTTCTTACGCAAACAAAACAATACCGAAATGACTTATGAATATGCTGAATGAAAATAAGATCTCTGCTATTGTTATGTTTTTCTGCCCATAGTATGTCAAATAAAATATGCAAAATTATATCTGAACTTAAAATATCATCTTAAACACAAATTTTACTCACACAATAATACATTACTCGTATGGAATGAAAGAATACTATATACCTGTTTAGCAAAAATACCTTGGCAAAGAGCATTGAAATGTGTTCATTTTTTTCAAAACTTTTCAAAACTTCGGCTACATCTAGATTGATAATAGTATAGTAAGAATGAAAACTCTAATAAATCACTTTTTTGATTCGACATCTGTCGATTTCGGAAATGATATTCAAGATGAAAGTACTTCAATAGAAGAAATTAATGAGAATAGTAGAGAGAAACCGATCAAAGCTTTCAAACAAAGTATATTGTTGTCCTTTTAAAAAAAGGTCTTGGTATTTAAAGTATTTTGTATGCTATTTTACAATGTTATTATTCAATGATAAAATTATGTTGAAAATTATTGTAATGAAGTTATATATTTGTGCAAATAAACGAAATCATACAAGTAAATGAAATGATAGCTATGATTACCTTTAAATTTCTATAAATTGCTTGTCAACACGAAAATAGGTAATCATAGTAGAAATCAGCTGATCGATTTGTAAATTGAGAGTCTAGGGATCATTACTCTAAGTGTTCATATTTTTTTCTATTTTGTTTAGAAAGTTCTCTAACAATCTTGACAAGGTATTTGATAGTGTCTGCGAGGAAGCTCAGAAAGATAATGAACGACAGAATCACAATTTTTACCAATTGAACATCTTGAAAATATTCGCAGGATCTCGATTTGGAAATCCAGAAAAATTGTTGAGAAGCTTTCTAAAATCTTAATTAAATTCTGCGAAAAAATTTCAGATTTTGAGGCTACATGTTACTTTGAAAACTTACAGTTCTCTGAACGAATTTCATGTTTTAAATTTACAGTGATAAACTGCTCAGAATCTTAATTAATTCTTGTTCTCAATGCCGCCGGATTCTCGAAGTTTCGTAGCTCTATGCTCTCTTCAGAGTTTTCTCATTTCCTCAGAAAAAATAGCGAATTCTTGCAGGATTCTTATCAAATATCTCAAGAATCTACCAGGATAGCATCGATGATTTTCACTAAAACATCATGTTCCTAAACCTTTATATTAATGATAGACATTTTTGTTACAAACGTGTTGATAAAAATATTCTTTTATGTTTAATTCTTTCGGGCCATCCAATCTCAACTGAAATATATAATATTTCAGAGAAGTCCATTGCGGCTGAAGGGTGTGGATGTGGATGTGGGTGTGGGTGTGGTTTAGGAAAAGAGAAGAGCAAACCCCCACCCCCACACCCTGTTTTCGACAAACTCTATTCGTTTTGTAGACCCGACTTCGTATTTTTTCGCACGAAACAATGTGATGTGATGGCTTAATTTTAGAATTAAATTCTTACCTCTACTTCACTTTGATTCATTTGTAATTTGAATGTTGAATGAAGCTCAGTATGAAATTAGGTTAGACATCTGCATCTTGATCATGGTCATAACCAAAAAAAAGAAGAAAGTTTCAACTCGTCACGTGACGAGTTGAACAAACAGCAAAAATCAGACCTTTCGTAACATCAAAAATAGGGATATCCAAAAATACAGGGATTTCGTAACGAAATTTACAGGGCGATTGTAACGATTAATACAGGGAGTTCGTAACAGTTGCAGAGCTTTCGCAACGAAGCAACAGGAATTTCGTAACGAGAATGAGGATGATAGCTGGACTTAGTTTGCAAAAATTACATGCTTTTCGTTACAAAAGCTCTGTAATGGTACATATCAAAACACCCGTTACGATCACCCTGTAAAATTTGTTACGAAAGCCCTGATTCTGTCGTTACGAAAGCTCTGTCATGGGCTTTCATACTGTCTATTCGTTACGAAAGCCAGAAAATAAAAATCGTGACGAGTTGAAATTTTCCCGAAAAAAGAAGTTTTTCAACACAACTTTTCATAAGAAACCTAGAAGAATAATTAGAGTTAAACGGTTTGTTTAGAATTTTTTCCTCTTCAAAATGTCGTTTGAAGCGTAAGGATACAATAATCTTCTGCAGAGAAAAACGTTACACATTGGTCGTGATCAGAAATATTTGTGACCAACGCTGATCATGACCAATGCGCAACGTTTTTCTCTGTAGGAGATTATTTTATCATCACGCCTCAAACGGCATTTTGGAGACGAAGAAATTTTGAACAAACAGTTTAACTCTAATTATTTTTCGACTCTCCTTAAAGAAAGTTGTGGTGAAAAACTTTTTTTTCTTTGATTACGATCGTGACCAAGACGCAGTTGTCTACTTGAAAGTAATAAATGTCAGACAGAACGCATATATATAAATTTAAACAGTTTGTTATCTGTTTCGATTCCAATTATTTTTATTCGGGACCAATTTTGTCGACAGATCCAAGCAACCATATCACCTAATATAAAACTAATCCAGAGCAATAGTGCCCCTATCAAAGCTGCTTGTAAATTGATTTATTTGAATAGATAAGCATTGTCACATGTACCAAACTAGGGATGTGGGTGTGGGTGTCGGTGTAGGATGACCTATTATACGCACCCACACGCACATTCACGCCCTCTTGTAAAATATATCCGTTGATCAACACAATTGTATTTGTAATATATTATTCAATGTAAAACATTTTTAAAAAAATAAATGTTTCATATACATGCGAACGAAACTCTTTTTTTTATTTTCGTACAAGTGATAAATAATGAAAAACATTGCCACTTGTTTTTCAATAAAGACTAGCACAACTATTGAAGATATGTGTGAAAAGTTTTTTTATTAGAGCATACATTACATTCCTTTGCTGAATCATAGGAGGCTGCTCTACGAATAAAAAAGACATCTGTAATGTGAATTCCCTTAGTCTACTTTTTTGTCTGAAGATATAACTATGAGAAACATAAAAGTGCAACAGAAAGAAATGCGTTAACGACGGACGAGATAACGAAATAGAAACATATGCAAATACATTTTTATCATTACCATTATCGATCGTTTTTCTTTCGTTCATGATTAGTCTATGGAGTAGTCGAGTAACGATGTATCAACAAAGGACTGCTGGAAAAAAGTAAATTGGTGCTTCTTACTTTCAACGTATTGCTACCTCATTGAGAGTTTTTTACTGTTTTTTCCTCTTACATATATAGAATTCACAATCTTGAGTCAATCGAAATGCATTAAAAATCAATTTCATATTGCTCATTGCATCATGTTCATTTACTTTCTCTCTACGATCATAGTTTTACAAATATTCGATGTCGTCAAAAAGAAAGATCGTTAAAATTGATGTAAATAGAAGTTTTATATGGCGGCTGCAAACTATCATCTAATCCTGGTCATGAATATGCCATAATCAATCGATATACCAATTTTCTGAAAAAAGTACTTGACTAATATGAATTTGAATGAGCTTTTGAAATGATCTTGATTTAGAAAAAGGGACTCAAGATAGAATAGATGCCATCGAAAATAAATTTGAATTTTCTTTTGTCCCCTGTTCACACTGGGAGTCTGATCTGTATGACTGACGGTAAATGTCAAAGAATAACAGAAGATTAATCGAAGAACGTATACAGTAATAAAGAAGAAGATGCAGTTGTTTTCTTTTGGCATTGTACCCTACGATTAATGTTTTGATCTCATCAACTGCAAAGCGTCGTATATACTCTTACTCATGATACTGCCACACAGTCAAGTGTCTTGTTTTTATTATCTCTACTGTCTAGTAACGTTGTTCAAATTCTTTCAAATTGAAAATTTCATAGCAATGCTGTTTTCTCTAAAAAATATATTCGAACACGAATCCAAATTTTTTATGAACACCCTCCTTTGGAAATCAAATTAACTTTCCAATAGTTCACATCTTGAAGAGAAAAACAAGAAAAGAAAGATAAGATATCCCGCAGTAGTCTAGTGGTATGATCTCCGACTGTAAAGTTCAATTGATCACAGAAATCGGATGGCCTCGGTTCGATTCCGAGTTGCGGGAAACCTTGTATTTTCTTATTGTATACTTTTGTTTTTGCGTTCAGACCACCTTGCGAAATATGATGACTCAAGCATGAGTCATCTTAATCTTCGTCGACTTGAGCAGGTGTATTTCTCTTCTGCCTTTTATTCTTGTTTGTCAATCATAGAAAGCATGTTTTTTCATTAGACTTATGATAAAATTTAGAATATACGATTCGATGGTAAATAAATGCTCAACTTTGTCTGATACATATAGAAGAAATGGGATTATTTTTCATTATCATATTCGTTATAAGTTACATA